CGCACATTGCCATACATAGAACGCGCAGAACTCCGGACTATCACGCTCATGTGTGTGTGAGCGATGGCGCATGCGTGTGTTTGTGTGTGTGTCTATGTGTATATGCGTGTGTGTACACGTGTGTGTGTGTGTGTATGTGCGTGCGTGTATGTGTGTAGTTGTGTGCGTGCGTGTGTGTGTGCGTGCGTTTGTATGTGTATGTGCGTGCGTGTGTATGTGAATGCGTGTATATGTGTGTGCGTGCGTGCGTGTGCCTGTGTGTTTGTGTTTATGTGTGTGTATTTTCCTGTGTGTGCGTGCGTGCGTTTGTGTGTGTGCGTGTATGTGCGTGTATGTGCGTGTATGTGCGTGTATGTGCGTGCGCGTATGTGTGTGTGTGCGTGCGTGTGTGTGTATGTGTGTGCATTTGCCTCTGTGTGTGTGTGTGTGTGCATTTGCCTGTATGTGTGTGTGTGTGTATGTGTGTGTGTATACCCCAAGGCATCCAAGTGTACCCTCTCAGCCACTGAGCTGGCCCATATGTCGCTTTGTCAGCCCACTGTGAATGTCGGATTGTTACATTTGGTGTGAATTTTTAACGGTTATTATACATGTGTATGTAATATTCTTATTATTATGGTTATAAATGCGTGCAAGCTGGGTTTGGCGTTGTTGTTTTTTTGGCCTTCCTCTGTCTGTCTGTCTGTCTCTCTCTCTGTCTTTCTATATCAATATCTGTCTGTCTGTCTGTCTGTCTGTCTGTCTGTCCCTCCCCCCCTTCTCCCTGTCCTTCTCCCCACCCCCCTTCTATCTTCTTCTTTCTCTCTCTCCCTCTATCCTCTGTCGCTCACTCTACAGTTCGTCTGTTTCTTCCTAATTTTTCACTTTGACCTTTGCCTATGGGCGTCATTAGTTCTTCAAGAGAATGGGTATCACAGGAACGCGCAAAATGTAAGCTCTGCGTCAAAATTGACGTGAGTGTACAAAACTTTGCAACACGAAACAGGTAAAAACGCAAGACTGTGCAGTAAACAACGAGATTTTTGTTTCCGAGAAGCGAGATTGTGTGTAACAACACGTGCATTTTTGAGACGTAACTCGCGTGAAAAACCCCCAGGATGGAATCTATTTTTAAAAGATACTTTCAAAATAAAGCCAAGAGCTGAAATAAAAAGTTCAGCCCTCTTTTCAAAAGTGAAGGAAGAGTTGTCGTTATTCTTACAGTCTTGTTTCTCTTTAGTTCAGTTTGTTGGCATCATGTTGGACTATGGCGTAAGACAGGGGCAGTACGAAGTTAGGGATTTAAACAACAACACCCCCCCCCAAAAAAAAAAAAACAACCCCAAAAAACCCAACAACAAAACAAACAACCCTAAAGAAAACAAAACATACCCACACATACATTAACAAAAAAGGAAAACAAATATCTAAGTCAATTTTAAGAAACAAACGAACTAAAAAAAGGAAAAGACAAAAAAAAACAACAAACAAACAACCCCCACCCCCCCTCCCCGAAAAAATAAACAAACCCGGGAGTGGGTGGCTGGAGGGCGCCACAGGTAGATCCTTCTTCTTTTCTCTTCCTCTGTTGTTTCCGTCGCTTTTTTTTTCTTGCTTTCCTTCTTGCACTTAAAACTACAGGGTCTTGTCTATCTTCCGTTTTCCCCGATAGTAAATTATGATAGTTATCCTATAGATGTGCGTCGCCTCTTTATCCAATGTACTTTAAACGTTTATAGGCGCACCTTCAGCTCAATTGGTATCATGCTGGACCACGGAGCTTATGGCCTAGTTCGAATCTCCAGCAGAGCTTTTTATACCTTTGTCGTTTTCGGGAGTTTTTAAGGCTTAGTCGACGTAGCAGATACATACGTCCGATGAGCAGTAAAACAAAGCCAATGATGCTGCACATTCCCGACCTTTATATATACAAATCAGAAACAAACATTTGCACATTTCATAGGAAGCACAATATTATTATTGTTGGCTGCCTTTTTAAGCTTAAGATAAAGAAAACAGAACTGAAATATCTATGTGAATAAGGAAGTTATGGCACTTTTTAAAAAGTATCCCAATACAAGGCGTTTTCTGTCGTGCAGAATGTACGTCACCAATGAGTTAAGGCACTCTACCCATTTCGCTTGATCTTATCGGAGATGAACGTATAAATCGGAGGATCCACATCTTAAATAACCTTAAGTGTTGAAATGGGTATTAAAAGTATAGAGTGACCAATGGCCAATCAAAGCCTGTAGTGGTTGGGGTTCTCGTGGTCGAGAGGTTACGGTGTTCTTCGCTTCTCATTAATTGGTCCCGGGTTCGAATACGGATAGTGACAGTAAATTTTCTTCTCTAAAAATTTTGTCCTTTCACCTTCTTTCCTACTCTCTAACAATGTATTGTCGTCTGCTTTTGTCTCCACTTTCTGCCCCTCAACTCCTTACCTCCTTTGCCCCTTCCTCTGGGCTCCTTACTCTTTCTGCAGCCGTTCTACTGTTACTCTTTGGCTCCTTCTTACTACTGTCTTTCAACCACACTCCTAATATTATGGTAGGTAAGATCTTCACCTAGCCCTCTCGAATAAGGATGAAAAATCTCTGAGGTCCCGTGTACAGGTTGCGTACGTTAAAGATCCCTTGGTGGTCCAAAAATCCTTTAGAATAGGCTTCGTCCGCCACCTGGGCAAAATTCAAAATTTCCCACCAACTGAAAACGTTAAACGTGTCCCGCGCGCTCGTATGACCTTATACAGTTGCGAGCACCGTAAAACACTTACCAAAAACAAAACAAAAAAAAGAAAAGAAAAAAATCTTAGTGCGTCTTGTGGGTAGGTGGAGGGTGCCTAGGTCAGTCTTCCCTTCTTTATTTTCCTTACTTTACTTCTTCCTCAAACCAAATGACTGTTATCGTATAGATGCTCTTCTCTGTACTCAACCTCATCACCCCCCACCCTAAAAAGAAAAACCCAACAAAAAACACCAAACAAAACAGCTAAAAAATGTGCCGGCTATCCTTCCCTTTCCTTCCCGTTTTATACCCTCGGCGACTTTCGCACTTCGCTCCAGCTATTTCAAACGTTTTAATCGCCATGTTTTTTACAACCATCAGCGCTGTAAACACCCAACTTCTCTACACCTGGAATTCGCAGAAGATGTTTGATAACTTCTGATAAGACTAACATATTGCATTCAACGCTCGGGGAATCTGTTCTGAGGCCAAAGCCATTTCGTCGTTTAATAAAAACGGTCGGTGGGTGGTGAGGCTGATATGGGAAGAGATAATGACGTTGGCTGTTATAGACATTAGGAGTTTCGTCTTGTTTTGTGTTTATCCCCGAATGTTCAGCAGATGTAGAAAGTAAAAAGATCACATTTTCTCAATCCTCGAGTGACAAAACATCTTTTTTTTCCCCTCTGAAATTAAGTGGAGTTCTGGAATTCCCCATACTAGAATTAAAAACCACAGATACCCAATTTCTTCGCTTCCTAACTGCGGTTTTACTTTATATCTCGCTTCTTTGCACCGAACACAACCCTATACAGCTTTGCCTTTCTCATCTTTCCGTCTGGTAATTTTTCTGTCTTCCTCACTTCTGCTAAAACTGTTCCGCCATATGCCTTTTCGCCAACAGCCCAAGAGTCACATTAATGAAGAGCGAACTAAGTAAAACTTTACGTAAACTGATATTGTTTTTAGTACTGATAAGGATTGTTGGAAGTCAATTTACGGAGCAGCGCATAAACTTCAGCTGCATATATTCAAACGATCGCTTCATTTATTATTAGTGCTGAGCGAAAAGAAGGCTAGACAAACTTACCGAACCCAGCCGAACTGAACCGACACAATTTATATCATTTAGGAGGCGGGCTGCTTCGACTCAATCTGTGAGGTCCAGCCCAGGCTGAGAGGGATTCACCTTCCCAGAGGAAAGAGGGAGATAGTAAAATAATGTGTTATAATACTTCTCCTCAAACGGATCAAACTCAGGACTTCCTTGTGACGACAAAGCGTCCAACTGCTACATAACCATAGTATAGCATAGCATAGCACAGCATAGCATAGCATAGCATAGCATAGCATAGCATAGCACAGTACAGCATAGAACAGCATAGCATAGCATAGCATAGCATAGCATAGCATAGCATAGCATAGCATAGCATAGCATAGCACAGTACAGCATAGCATAGCATAGAATAGCATAGCACAGTACAGCGTAGCATAGTATAGCATAGCATAGCCTAGCCTAGCCTAGCATAGCATAGCATAGCATAGCATAGCATAGCATAGCATAGCATAGCATAGCATAGCATAGCATAACATAGCATAGCATGGCATAGAATAGCATAGCACAGCATAGCATCGCACTGTACAGCACAGCATAGTACAGCACAGCATAGTACAGCACAGCATAGCACAGCATAACACAGTAAAGCATAGCACAATACAGCACAGCATAGCACAGCATAGCACAGCATAGCACAGCACAGCATAGCATAGCATAACTTAGCATAGCATAGCATAGCACAGCACAGCACAGCACAGCACAGCACAGCACAGCACAGCACAGCACAGCACAG